GCTCCCGGAGAAGGCCACCCAGCCTGTCCAGCCTGTTGCCGCTTCTGGCGGCGCGGGGCCTGGTCGCCCTACGTACAACGGCGGCACTGGAACGGCGGGAGGCGCGGTCAACCAGCCGGCGCTTCCCAAGGTCCCGATGTACGTCCACGAGGCGGAGGGTGAGCATGTCCTGAGCAAGAGGAAGCTGGACGAGCTCGTGAGGCAGGTGTGTGGCGGTACGACGGAGGGGCAAGAGGAGAACCTCATGGCGCCCGAGGTGGAGGAGGTAAGCGGCATCCATATTTTTTTTTCACTTGACCATGTGGTTCCGTACCGGGTCACACCTTCCTTGTTTGACTACAAACGCTGACCGTGCTTTTTTCACGCCGAACTAGAACATGCTTATGCTCGCGGATCAGTTCATGGACAACGTCATCATCACGGCTTGCAGGAACGCCAAGGAGCGCGGGTCCAAGGTCCTGGAGATCCGTGACCTGCAGCTCGTCCTCGAGCGCGTGTACAACATCCGGGTCCCCGGTTTCTCCTCCGACGAGCTGCGGACGGTACGGAAGATCCAGCCTTCGGCGAACTGGATCCAGAAGATGAGCGCCGTGCAGGCCGCCAAGGTCATGCCGGGCAAGGGAGAGTAAAACTAGGCGAGCCATTTGGGCCTATTTGTGGTGGAAGGAGACTCGACAGGAAGGGGCCCCTTCTCTTCCTTTGAGGGGGGAAAGCGCGGGGGGGCGGGAGGTTTGTTCTTGAAGGGGAATTTATTCCTCCTTTCTTCTTCTTACGGGGCGTTGGGGAAGATAGGTGTACACAGTGAAGGCGAACGGTTTCCTCGGTTGTTATTATGATATTGGGTTGGAGGGAATGCAAGGGAACGGCGAGGAGGGGAAGGGGCTAATTCGACTTTATTTTTGATTTATTGTGACCAGGGCAAGATACCCGTGATGCTCCGAGTCATCTGTAAGGAGCCTGATAGCGCTGTGGCTTTGATCGGGTTCATATCTATATGCATTCTCAGGAAGTCGACATTTCAATGGACCGTGATAGCCTCACGAATTTCGACATCCTCCAAAGGAGGAGGAGAAAAGGGGAAGGGGGGGGGACGGCCTCCCTGAACGTCAAATGAGTGTCCAATAATGATCTCAGATGTTATGTCTGTACGATGTCCGGTGGCGAAAGCCAATTGTAAATTTGATAAGGAGCGTTCTCTCCGCTGGCATGCATAACTTCGTGTCCCCGTAGTGAGTGAATAATTGCGCGATTAGTAAGAAATCGAATCGCGGCTGCTCCTCGAAGGCGGGCGCAATTGGAGATTTGGGAGTGTGTGTCGTGGCAGCCAGCAGGCACCGAGAGGTAACGTCATGAGCAAGCAACACGCGACTCAAGAGTGGAATGTACGGGATACATACTCATAACGATGGTGCCTGCAGATACTCACTGTACCAGGTACCTGCATGGCGTAGGCGCTGAACTCCGATGACGGTAGATGTGGTAGCCCACCCAAGCTGTGCCCAAGCGCCGCCCAAGACACACTGTAGCTCGTACAGTAGCGACGTACAGTGCCGAAGGGGTGGCCAATTAGCTTTGCGCCAGGCCGAAGTCACCCGGAAGATATGGGTATCTAAGACTAACAACTACTGCATTCATTAGCGCAATATAAAAGTACCTGGTACATCCGCCACATCGGTCACCCTTGTCAGCAGTGACCAGCACCTTGCTGCTGCAGAGGTCGTCGTCCATCAGGTTCTGTCTGCTGCTTCCTCCCGGACCAAAATCTCCAGCAACACAAGAAAGCAAAAGAACGACCACGCAACAACGAACCCGGCGACAACGCGGCGCCTGGCCTCCCATTACTACCTTTCCGCAGCCCATCAAAGCTTCGAACCTGCCCTTATCCACCACTCCTGCCCGAGCCACTTCTTTCCGTCGTTTCGCTCGCGTCATCAGCCCTGCTTCGCTCCGGGGGAAAGCGCGACTCGGCAGGTTTCCATCCATCGAACCAGGCAGATCGAGAGCAACTCACCACCTCTAATCATCTCGACGATCCATCCTTACCTGGACTCTATTTCCTAGGAAACCCTACAATCCGACCGGACCCCTTTTTTTCGCCCTCCTCTTTTTCCTCACACCTACCCTCGTTCCTGATCTTTCACCAAAACCTGACACAACCCGGACGAAATGCCCAGCAAGACACCCCATAGCAACGGGAACGAACCCGTCGAGAACGGCATCAGGAATAACCAGGACATCGATATGAAGGAGGATCTTAAGGGGAAGGGAAAGAAGGCTGCCAATAATAAGGACGGCGATGAAGAGATGACGGTCGTCGTGAAGACGCGACCTGTCAAGTCGTCGGCGCCGCCCGATGCCGATGGCGACGTGGCCATGGATGAGGAGAAGGTCGATGAGGTCAAGGTTGACCCCGTTGTGCAGACCGTGACAGGTAAGTTTGCAGATGTCGGAGGGGGGTTGGAAGGTGTTTATATCTCCTTTCGTCTTGCCGTGACGATCTGAGGCAGTGGCGATGACGGGGAATGCATTTGCTGACATCATTTATCTTCGTCTAGATATCAAGAACAACTTTGTGCTATTGGAGCGCGCCGTAGCCCAGTTCGACGCCAGATTCACCCTCCGAGCCCTCCGTTCCATCTCCCTCATTCGCAAACGCCTGACTCCGGAAATCATCGGGAAGGTCATCGTCGAGACTTTCCCCGCCACGGGAGCGTCCGCAAACGTGGGCAAGGCTCTCCTACTCGCTATCGGCCGCCAGGACCTATCTCTTGGCCGGACCTCAGCGGGCGACATGGAGATTGACGAGCCCAAGACGAAGAACGGCGCCAAGAAGGAGGTCAAGGAGGTGATCCCCGAAATCGACATCTTCCTAGGCATCCTCATCCAGGTGTACCTATCCGACTCGAAGCAGTACGAGCGCGGCGCAGAGTTCTCGAAGCACCTGTCCGACAGGATCCAGAAGCTCAACCGCCGCACGCTAGACTCCCTGTCCGCCAAAGCCTACTTCTACTACAGCCTCTTCTGCGAGCAGCTCGCGCCGCTGCCCCCGTCGTCACAGTCGCCCGTCGTCGCGCTCCGGCCCACGCTCCTCAGCGCGCTGCGGACGGCCGTCCTCCGCAAGGACGTCGACACCCAAGCGTCGGTGATCGTCCTCCTTCTGCGGAGCTACCTCCTCACCTCCCATATCTCTCAGGCGGACCTGCTCGTCTCGCACACGCAGTTCCCCGAGAACGCGGCCAACAACCAGGTGGCGAGGTACCTGTACTACCTGGGCCGGATCAGGGCCATCCAGCTCCGCTACGGCGAGGCCCACGCGCACCTGACGGCGGCCACGCGCAAGGCGCCGTCGAGCGCGTGCGCCGTCGGGTTCTCGCAAACGGCGACGAAGCACCTCCTCGTGGTGGAGCTCCTCATGGGCGACATCCCCGACCGCGCGACCTTCCGGCAACCGGCGCTCGAGTTGGCGCTGCAGCCGTACTTCCGGCTCGTGCAGGCCGTGCGCGTGGGCAACCTCGAGGACTTCGAGATCATCATCGCCGATCACGCCGACGCATTCCGCCGTGACGGCACCTACACGCTCATTCTCCGTCTGAGGCAAAACGTTATCAAGACTGGTATCCGCATGATGTCGCTCTCGTACTCGCGCATCTCGCTCCGCGACATCTGCATCCGGCTGCACCTGGGAAGCGAGGAGTCGGCCGAGTATATCGTGGCCAAGGCGATCCGCGACGGTGTCATCGAGGCGACGCTAGACCGCGAGAGGGGGTTCATGAAGAGCAAGGAGGTCGGCGACGTGTACGCCACGCGGGAGCCGGGCGAGGCGTTCCACGAGCGCATCAGGGTATGCCTGGGGCTTCACGACGAGAGTGTAAAGGTTTGTTCTACCCGGTCTCGCTTTGGCTCCAAGCAAAGAAGGAGAAGAAGAAGAAAAGTAAGCTAACCTTGTTTCAACCTCCAGGCAATGCGCTTCCCGATGAACCAGCACCGCCTCGAGCTGAAGAACGCCCAGGAGGCACGAGAGAGGGAGAGGGAGATGGCGAATGAGATACAGGAGGGCGACTTGGACGACGATGACCTCGGGGGCGAGTTCGAGGGGATGTAAGCCTGGGTTTGAAGAGTGATATACATATTTTGGGAGGGTAGAGCCTGGGGATACAGTGGCTTCATCATGTAAGGAGTCCTAGAGGGAAGACGGAAGGGGGTGAATTACTGGAAGGGAAGATGAGAAGGGGGTGATCCTGGAGTTGGGGACCGAGGGGAAGAGGAGGGGTCCCTCTCCATAACTGTACACCTGTATCTTTTTTTTCTCTTTCCTCTTTTGTCGTTACTGTCGTCGTAATTTTTTTTGCCGGGTTCTGTTCTTCTTCTCATTTTCTTCTCTTTTTCGAGTCTCAGTGGATTATTAAGATGGGTTTTGTTACCTTGCACATCATACAAAGTCTGGTCTTGGGGGCAAGGGGGGAGAAATAATGGGGTTTCTGCTTTATAACACTCATTGCGAATGGGGGCTTTTACTTTGAAGGGGACTGTGGGTGTATTGGGCCGGCCTGCTGAGCGTGATGGTGTTTGTCTGTGGGTTATATGGACTTGTGCTGATGTGATTTCCTGGTCTATCTGTGCCTGTCCTGCCTTGCAGGTTTTGCTTGTGGACTTGGGACCTTGATATCTTGACCTTCGCTGCCATGGTGTTGACTGTGAAGCTCGGAGTCTGGTCTGGATGTGGAGGATGAAGAGTATATACCTCTCTATATATGCCTTTCCTAAGGTCTCGAAGCAAGTGAACATGTCTCTATGACAATGCCAAGTTACTTTCTCATATTGGCACTCTACTAGAGCTGGGAGGATTTTATCGCCTAAAGCTCGCTCTGGGAATCATCTTTCATCGTTCGGACCTCTATGTAGTGAGTGTGATCATGCCAACTCGTGAATCGTGAAGCGGGGTTGTGGAAAAGGCACATAAGTCCGGACTAGGCCTAGTCACCACATCAAATAGCACGACTGGTCTTGTGGCCCAATGGCAAGGCGTTTGACTACGACTGTACAAGAGTACGGCAGCATATCAAAAGATTGCAGGTTCGATCCCTGCCAAGATCATATTTTTGCGCCCCTGCCCCCTATTTTATATTTTTTATGCTTCCCCGCGCGTACATATGGGACGAACCAACCTTGCCTCAGCCTTTCTCTTCTGGGCTTCCTTCTTCATGGCTTGAGCTTCTTGTAGATTAATGGTAGTTCCTGCGGTAGAGCTGTAAGGCCAGGGTGGTTCGTTGGATATGTACGGGGGCTGGTGTTTGAAGTATCATGGCAAGGGCTTAGAGGACATTTCATCATCACACTCGACATACCCAAGGGTCGAAGGGAAGGGAAGGGAATCATAAGGCAGCACAAACCTTAGTCACAACGACATTGATGATCAACGATTCGAAACTTTCTTTCTTCTATTACCCGCCTTCTATCTCCTCTAGGGAAAAGCTCCCTCCCCCAGAACCCAATCCGCAGAAAATGCTCGACTCTTTATGTAAACGTACAAATCCAGAAGCTAGATGGATGCTAATGTAAGAGGAGTAGCTAAGAAAAAAAAAGATGTAAGAGATATGCTGGTATCCCCACCTCTCTAACATCAAAAGCAACCCACGCTGTATCGCAAAACCGCCCTTGAGGGAAAGCAAAAATTGGGCTCCGTATAAACAAAAGCCAAGAAGACCCAAGGTCGCCCCTAAGATATGGACGATGCCGTATCGGATATCATCGCCTTGCAAGCTAGTATCGCCTTGAAAAAATCACTACCACCCTCGATTCGGTAGCAACAGGTCTTGACTCTAGTTCCGGAGCGTTACTCGACAGGGTCGTTCCGAGCATGAAATCGGGGATGCCGAGACGTAGCTAAAATGTCCTGAATCCCAGAGCAGAGGTGGAATCGACAAGACAAAGGATCAATGGGTTATCAACGCCACAGCCGTGAAGCCGATGAGGCTGGAAGAGCGTTGAGTTCAGTCCAAGCCGGTTGTATCAGATGCGGGGCCTTCCAGGAAAAAAGCAGAGACGCATGCTCTCGGTGTCCGCGCCGCCGAACCAGAACCAAATATCGAGGTGGTGCTGAGGACCGCCTGGTATCCGTGCTCCCCTGCCCCTAATGCCCCTGTCGCTTGGGTTGTAGACATAAGTTTCGTTTCCCGGGAGTGTCCTCTCCAGGGGTTGCACCGTCCCCCGCCGAGATATTCTTCGTCCCGAATGGTGAGAATGGGTCGTGAACTTGGCCACAATCTTTGCCCATGGATGGCGCAAGTATCAACCCCGGTAAAAAGTGAATACTCTAACAACCCCGTAGCTGTGACCTATCGCCGAGTGCCTGCTCAGCGAATCAATGCAGACAAGGGCGAGTCGCTCTGGGCAAGTAGAGATCGTTCTCTAGGCTAGGAGATGCGCCTGGCGCCGCCAACTTCGGCCCCCTACATGCAAAGGCAGCCATCGACCTCGTCGGTTACGCCAGAGGAAGTCTCGCACTTGATCCTATTTCCCCGCCGCGAATTCTATGTCTGCGGCGAGTCAAGGTCCATGTCCGAAACCACCACTGCCGGTCCGCCATCCTTGCCATTCCCGTTTGTCAATCCCGTCTCGTTGGCGTATGCTGCTCTGTTGGCTGCATGCCCCTCTCTCATGTCGATCGACGGCGACTCGCTCTTATCGGCCGATCCATCAGACTTCCAGTTAAGCGACAGAGGTGAGCCGTATACGGGTGGGACCTTCAAGGTGTCTGTCCACCCCATCGCCCTCGCCGTAGTAACCACTTTCACCGGCACGCTTTTCGGACCAGATCCGCTCGCGCCCTCTCGACCCCCAAAGACAGCCTCTCGAATCGCAAGCCCCAGCGCAAGCGACACCTCCCTCGCAACACTATTCCCCACAGCCCTCCATTTATCCCTCAGACCCCCTACCAAGACCTCCTCGTCGGGGAACCCCTGTGCCCGTCGAGCCTCCATTAGCGTAAGCGGCCTCTCCTCCCTCCAGTGCAACTGCGGACCCAGCTTCATATCCGTAATAGCCTGGGTCGTTGTAATCGTAGAGAAAAGCCTGTTCGGCCGGCAACGCATCCACCCTTGCGCCCCGTCTTTTGTTCTCAGGGAGCCCGGGGCCGGGAAGAGTGCACGGTCCGAGGGTGTTAGGGCCCCTGACTTCCAGGCGCGGCCGAAGTTCATACCCGGGGGGTAGTGCGGGATGCACTTGACCTGGGAACGGATCATCGTCGTAAAGGTGGCGGACGGGACGTGGTCCGGAAACGGGATGCAATAGTCAGTTTTAGTATCGTACACGTCCGGGAGGTCGGCCGTAGCCGCCGCAGCACTGCGGAACGGGAAAGCGTACGCATCATGGAACACACGCGCAGCCATTCTCTCGCCGTTCCCCAGAATACCAAGACCAAGGTTCTTCGTGTCAGGCGTGTGGGAGTGTGAGGGAGGGGGTACGTCCGGGAGCATTTCTCCCGTGGCAGCGAAGACGAGGAACACGCGACTCCGGGACTGACAGGAGCCGTAGGACCAGGCGTCTAGGAAGAGCATACGGACCTGATATCCCATACCGACCAAGGCACAAATGAGCTGGCAGAACACATCCTCCCGTTTCTGCCGATGGTTCTGCACAATCCCGACGACATTTTCTAGCACTCCATAGCGAGGACGGTATAGATCCACCATCGACGCGAAGGCAGTGACAAGGGATTGGTTCTTCCTCTGACGGGGTGTCGTCTTGTCGTTCGTCAGGATAGAGAAACCCGGACATGGACTCCCGCCAGAGATAAACCCGACTACCCCGATTTCTGGAATACCAGAGTCGAATCGCCCCCTGATGGCTCTCTCCTGAAAGGTATCAATGGATTCGAGGAACGGAGTGACACGAGACGGGTCAGCGTTCGCCATGTAGGCGTGAACAGCCTTGTCAGAGATGTCGTTCGCCCACCGCATCTCCACAGCCCCACCCTCTTCCAGTCCGCGTCCAAAGTTTCCAGCACCGCAGAATAGGTCCAGTCCTAGTAACTTCTCTCCAGTAGGCGGCATGTTGAAGGAAGGAACATCTCTCTTCTTAAGGACGAGGGAATGGCACTGCTCGCCGTCCAAGAAGTGCGTCATGAAGAAGAGGTCCCCACCGCCCCCACGATTATAAGGAGCCGGGACCTTCTGGTTTGTGGCGACGTGGACGTAGCACTTTCTTGTAATAGTCGTGTACAGGGACGTGATGAAGTCGTCCGTGTACACAACTTCGTTTGGCTCGCAATGTTCCTCGAAGTCGGACCTGCGGTAAAGGCAGCGGAGCGTGACCTTTCCAGATACCGCATCGATATCCACAAGCTCGAACGGTTCGAGTTGCTTCTTTTTCCGCACTAGGACCGTATCGCCGACACGGTACTTGCTCGTGAATTCCGTGAAGAGGGGGTTTCCCTTGGGCCTGTTGCAAATGCAGAATCTATCCGATTCGCTGTAGGTCGTAAACCGCCGTTCAGTCATATTGTACGTCTGGCGGCAAATGAGCTCGGACTGCTCGAGGGGGGATGGCCAGAAGGAGACGGAATGGACTCCGAGGATATCATCCTCGTAGATAGGCGCGCTATCACTGCACGTGCAGTGGTTAGAGAGGAAGAGCTCGTTTTGGATGGGATATTTCATAACACCGCAGACGGTATCTACCGGCCTGTAGTACCATATAATGTGAAAAGTGCGGGATCCACGATGCAGGTTCACAGACTGGACAAGTCCGTACCACTTATCGTCGTTCCCGTGCGCGCCCCCTTGAGGTACCTCGCGAGACCACTTGCTCAAGGACTCGGGGTCGGGAGGGAGAGAGATAGTATCACCCGGCTTGATGCTGTCCAGCATGGCAGAGCGCGCAGATCCCGCGAGAGAACCCGCAGGAGAACCTGCAGTTACTGTTGGAGGAGTTGGCGGTGGCAGCCTTGTCGTCCCCTCTACCGCCCTCTTGGTCAACTCCAAACTTACAGGGTCCGCCACCTTTTTCCGAAGAGCCTCCACTTTGGGGTCGAGGTCCATCGACCAGATCACGGAGCCGCAGGGAAGGTGGCCGAAGCAGTGGGCGATGTATGGTGTCACGATGGTCATAGGGACGTCGTCTGAGTCTGAGCCACCCTTGCTCTGAGTATTAGGAGGTACGGGCCTATACTCGTCGAAGGTCATGATCTCCCGAAAAATCGGGTGGAACCTGGCTGACTGGACAGAGAGAACACCACAAGCCTCCTTATAGAGAAACTCTATATTGGCAGAAACTGGAACCCCGAAGTCTTCCTTTCCATACGCATCAAACCACCTGATGAACGCAGGAGATGCTCCATACCGGGCAAAGGTGCTCTTGAAGAAATCTCTGCGAAAGTCTTGTAACCGAACAGATTTGCCATCGCACTCCTCGAGATAGTCGACGAAGTACTTTGCAAGATTGGCTATCCAAACGAAATTGGAGAAGTACCGCGAATAACACTTCGAGGGTCGTCCGAGCCTGTAGTAGACTTCCTGTCCCATGTTCCGGGAGGAACGAATCCACACTTCCCCGTCGACTGAGTCGTTTTCATGGCCATAGTTGCCGACGGAGAGCTCCTGGAATGGAACCTGGTTGACAAAGTACCTTTCATCACCCACCCGTAGCACGCCATCGAATAGGTACTGCGAGTGACCGAATTGTTTTGCGTTAAGGTACTGCAGTGGGCGCATCTCCAGGGCGCTGAAGCCCGAGTCTGAGTATATGGCGAAATCTTCCAGGATGATCTCTTGAAAGTCATCGACTTCTTCCTCTTCCTCTTCATCGACTTCTTCCTCTTCCTCTTCATCTCGTAGTCCGGATTTAGACGCCGCGGCTATCTCTTGGATTTTTCGTCGGAGGGCGTCAACAGCTGTCCTCTCGGATACGACGTGTGCAGGAGGGACGAATCCTTCGTATCTTGATTCTGGAAACACGAGTGTTGTCTCGGGAATTTCGACACTGACGACGTTAGGCGTCTGCAGGGGCCAGGGGCAGCACCTTGGAAGAAGTTCACCAACGGAAACGCCAGCGGTATCGTATAACCGCACATCCTCCTCGTCAGTATCGGAGTCCGA